CATTATTCTAAGGATGAAGTAAGGGATAAACATAATTTGCATTCTTTCCCATATTTCCTGTATACCTTTTATTACTTTCATTTTTAATTCAGACATCAGAAGGGAAGATACTACCTTGCTACGAAGGTCCATATGCCAACTAATTACTACAAGAGACTCAGGCCCTGACATCACAGGCCAGGCCTCTGAACACACTTCATCTTACCCAGTGACCTCACCGTGGTGATTAATAGGTCGAGTGCTCAGCCCTAATGAGTGTGTCAGATCTTAGATGTTCTGTAAGCTAATGTAATTAGCATTATATTGAACAGAGTATTTCAGTCACTTGGTAGAAAGATTCATACTTGAGTAAACTATATGCTTTTTCACTTTATGGTCTTTGAATTTATTTTATAATGATCCAACTAACAGGCCTCTATAAATAGAGATATCTCAAATATTAAAGGAAAATTTAAATATTTTTAAATCAAATATTTATTTTCCTCTGCAACAGTGAATCTCTATGCTCTACATAAAGTGAAGTAGTTTTCAGAGATGCTTGTTGAAATGTAAGTTTCTGGATTCTATCAAAAGAAATTCTGACAAAAGGGGGTTTGGGGTAAGATGCAGGACTATGCGTTTTCAGCAAGCAACCTATGATTCAAAAGCAGAAAATCTGTGGACCACACTTGAAAAAACACTGCCACTTTAATAACAGGACTAATGTCTGTGTCCCAGATTAATGGAATCTATTGGACTTTTTTTCTCGATAGTTATGTTTCTGAAAAAAATGGTCTGCACCCACAGAGGAGGAATTGTTTTCATATTGAGATTACAGTTTTAAATGTGACAATCATTTCTTGTTAAAAGATTAAAAATGAATTATCAAGAGAAGATATGGATATTATTTCCAATAAGCCATGTAAGTATACGCGGTCTCCATTCAACAGTAGACACAACAGGTAGTAACATTTGATCCAGTAGACAGGGGGCCTGGAATTGCTTTTCCACTTTTAAGGGAAAAACCAAAGAGTAGCAGAATTTCCGGAATTTCTGACTTTTTTTCCATGGCCAGAGGTGACATGCAAAATGTCTCAGCCCTGATGACTAAGGACTGTAAGCCAAATTCCAACTATTTACCTGGATCTCACCTAAATATTACCATCAATTACTACATACTAACAATTACTACATACTAAGTAATTTCATGTGTCTAGCCTAGCATTGCTTTCTTAAAACAACCAGATACAAAATGCCTGTTGATCTTTAATAACATGTTTTATTCATCTATTAACATAAACATTTTACGTAGTTTTTTTTTCCAAATTAATAACTATTTAACCAAACTACCATTTTTTCGATGAACTTGAAAGGAGTTCTCCTCTGTACTTTTGAACATTTATACTGAATGTATGAAAAATAGAAAAGAGCCTGAATAAAATTAAAAATATATTTAATGATAAATATATTATAACTATTTAATTATAAATTGATACTGAGATTTAATGTTTTGAGAAATCCATGTCTCCTTTTAGATCTAGCCAGGCGATAGAAGGCTGTCACATGACCGTGGTAAGTCTCTAAACACATTCTGTTTTCACTGACAGGAGAATGATTGTTGGGGTATCAAACTCTGTCCAAGACTCACTGAATACTATCTTATTTTTTGTCTCTTTCTCTAGGAAGCCTGAGTTTCCCGCAACCCCAGGCCCTGCTTCCGGGCAGGGAAGTATAAGAGTTCTAACCAGTAGAATGTGTGCAGAAATGCCTTTTTTTTTTCCTTCCTGACCTCGCCTCTAAAATATCCTATAGATCTCCCATGCTGTCTGAATTCATTCTTGTCCAGATGGATGGAACAGATTTGGAAACACTACAAAGTCTTAAGTGATGGCATAGTCACTGGATGAAACACTGCTTGAGCATGTACTGCTTGAGCAAGATAAACTTGTATTGCATTTAGGCTCTGGGACATTGAGGTTGTTTGCTTAAAACTAATAAAGTCAATTAAGACTTGACTAATTTTGAAAGTTATATAAAATTTTGCCCTGACTGGTGTGGCTCAGTGAGTTGGGCATCTTTCTGCAAACTGAAAGGTTGCTGTTTGATTCCGAGTCAGGGCACATGCCTGGGTTACAGACCAGGTACCCTGGTTGGGGGGCGTGCGAGAGGCAACTGATTGGTGTTCCTCTAGCATATCAATGTTTCTCTCTGTTTCTCCCTCCTGCCCCCTCTCACTAAATATAAATAAATAAAATCTTTTTCAAAAATTAAAAAAATAAAAAGTTACATGAATTTGTCTTGCTCTCTACCCAGGTTTGAGTTTGTCAACTATCTACCCAATAGAAAATGATGAATATATAGGACCTGAATTCCAAATTCAATACACATATTAATCCACTAGAGGAATTGTTTCAAGTGTATTTAAGAAGGGAGAAAAACTATGTTATCTTAACATTAGCACACTTTGGAACTCAGGACAAGGTGACTTTGTCATCTTGCAAATCATTATTAAAGAACACCTGACCTATGGGATAGAAGAATAAAACCCGAAACACAATATCTACTACTTCCATAGTCATCATGAATAAACACAGTTAACAGTCTTAAAGCAACTGTTCAAAGGAGAATCTCGGAAAGTGTTTTGGGAGAATTTTTTTCTACTTACTAGGAGTAGAGTGAAGACTTTTTTTTCATTATTTTTTTAGAAAGAGAGGAAACAGGGAGAGAGAGAGACATTGAAACACCGATGTGAGAGAGAAACATTGATTGACTGCCTCTAATAGGTTCCCCAGCTGGGGATGGAACCCGCAGCCTAGGTATGTGTCCTGACTGAGAATCGAACCCACAGCCTTTCAGTGTACTGGACAACATTCCAACTAACTGAGCCACACTGGCTAGGGCTAGAAGTAGTGTATGTCATAACATACCCAAATAGCAGTTTAAAGATACCATTTGTTACTGGAATAAAAATGCATCGATTAACGTACAAAAAGGGTAAAAGAGACATATATTGAATGAAGGTAAAATTGCTGACATAAAGTGGAAAACACATACACACACAGGATTATTGGAGAATCAAATTTTTACGTTGGTGTACAATAGACAATAGCCTGAATTATAACTATTTTGTGACTAAACAAATGATTGGTGGGTGAAGCACCTGAATAGGTATGCAGGAAGCCTAACCTAGATTGGGCTCTGTCATTTTTCTGCAGGTAAAGAGAGAGCTATGAGAAAGGCAGGAGAGCACAGGGATGAAATGTTTGGGGTCTCAACTTCTACCTGCCACTAATGAGCTGTCTGACTTGGAAAAACTATTTTTTCTCTCTCTGTCCTCAGCTATAGAATGGAGAGAAGATTATACTTATTTTGTAAATTATTAAGAGGATTATATCATATGACACATAGCAAACATTTAGAGAGGCTATAGTTAAAAGTTACTACTGACAAATATTGGGATATTTTTACTAATGATATAGCTCCATCCCTATGAGCCATATTTTCCTCACCTGGAAACTGAGAAATTGAAGTAGATGATTTGTATGTGTTCTTTAAGCATTTATGTTCTGAGTTTATACTTGTCTCTTAAAGTCACATGTACAGTTGAAAAATAAAAACTCAAATATAAATATTTTAATTAATAACTTTAAAAAAATCTGGGAGACAGTTTGATGTGCTGTTGATACTGATTTAAAGAAGAGAAACAAGGTAAAATGCACTAATTAATTTATATATGTATATATTTTTTAACATTCAGAAGTGATATGGTACTTTGATTTATTTATTATCCCTCCTGAATCATACCCTCATTTAAACATGACATGTAACAAAATAATTGTCAGGCAACCATTAAAATTTTAAAATGTCATATTTAATGAGAACTACAAAGATAAAGAATTATTTCAATTGCACAAAACTGAATGGACCCAACAGGTACATGATAACACTCTTCTTTTACAGTTTAAGGTGAAGTACTTCCTTGGCTTAGAGATTGTCAGCAGCTTGAGTTTCTTCCTTATTCACAAGAAAGCATTTCTACTAACTGTAGCAATAGTAAGAGATGATACTAACACTCTAGTATAGACTTTATTCCAAAATAAATGCAAAGGTGCCTAGAGGTTCCATAATTTAATAAATCTTTTTTTTAAGCTTTTCCTCTCCCTTTATTTTTTTTAATTAATTAATTTATTTTTTTCAAATACATTTGTCTCTGCCTACCCCCCACCACTTTCCCTTGTCCCCTCCCTTCCTCCCTCCCTCCCTCAGCTCTTCCCCTTTGGTTTTGTCCATGAGTCCTTGCTATATGTTCCTTGACTTTCCCATCCCCTTCCTTTTCCCCCGCGCCCCCCTCCCTCCTTCCCTCTTGTCTCTGTTGATTCCTTTTCCTTTCAGTGTTGCTGGTCTTATTTTCCTTGCATCTTTGTATTGTTGGTTAGGTTCCACTTATAGGTGAGATCATATGGTATTTGTCTTTCGCCCCCTGGTTTATTTTGCTTAGCATAATGTTCTCTAGTTCCATCCATGCTGTCGCAAAGTTTAGTACTTCTTTTTTTCTTTCTGCTGTGTAGTATTCCATTGTGTAAATGTACCATAGTTTTTTGATCCAGTCATCTACTGATGGGCATTTAGGTTGCTTCCAACACTTGGCTATTGTAAATTGTGCTGCTATGAACATTGGGGTGCATAGGTTCTTTTGAATTGGCATTTTGGGATTCTTAGGGTATAGTCCCAGCAGGGGAATCACTGGATCAAAAGGCAGTTCCATTAATAAATCTTAATGTGTGCAAAGAAATCTTCATTCAAGCAAACACCCTGGTGAGACTCAGAAGGATGCAAATAGTTTAAGATATTGAATCACTGAAATTTTTAAAAACTCAGTCCTAATAATTCTTCTAGTTGTTTTGAAGAGACAATAACATGAAAATAAGGCTTCGATATACCAAAACACTACATGTAAAACATTGTGGCATGGAGAAATTGTTTTCTTAATCCAGAATTCTATTTATTCCAAAGAACCTTACCTCCTGCATACATAACAGCCAGCATAATGGATGATATCCATGCTATTTCACTGTAGGTAGTGTTGAATATATGTTGAATTTCTTTGAAGAACACTGTGATGGCTTTGGGAATCGCATATGAAAATCCAATGCAGATAAAAGACGCTCCAACCACTACCCAGCCCCATCCTCCATCAGGAGGTGGATGCAGGGGTGGGCCACCTGTGGGTGGTGGCATTTCTGCTGCTCTGTTTGAAATTCAGGTAACCTATATTAAAATAATGAAATAAAGCTTTAAACCATGTTCTCATTTTTATATCTCACTCTTAGAGTCACTAAAATAACATTTTCCAGTTATAACTACGACTAATTTTTCATGAATATTTGTAATACACTTATATTCAGAAAGTTATCAGAAAATTTACCAAAAATGTTAAGTGAGGTATGTAACTTTGTTATGCACTGGGACTTGAAAGCCTTTAATTTGTTTATGGAAGCAGAAAGTACTCTGAGAAGTTAAGATTTCAGATCTGTATTGAAGAACAGCCTAAAAAGGAAAAGCTATCTCTATCTGATTTCTAAGTATGATGAAAATGGAGCTATCATCACTTAAAACAGAATGTTTTTTAGTCCAAGGTGTTTGAGTTTTTATACAAATGTTAAAAGGGACCATTTATTAAGCCTGATGAATTACAAATAATTAAAGAGTACGTTTATTTTAGAATTTCACTTTTAATAACTGAGAGTACTTCAAAATATTTCAGCACAGATCTGTTTTCTAAAACTATAAGATTAAAAATTGTGTGACTCTAATGAACTAAGTTCATTTTAACGCACTTCCAGAACTGGTGCTATCTCCTATCATTTTACTTTTTTTTTTGTAGCAATAAAATTTTCTCAGTCAAATGGATGGTATGTAATTGTTTATTTAAAAAAAAAAGGTACTATCTGTTTGGAAATGCCTAGGAACACTTAACTGCCAGCTTTATGGTATAGAACAACCACTCTCTAATGGAAATAAAATAATGAAATAAATGGAAACAACGGAAACAATGATCACACATAATTTCATACTATTGGTATTAAGCTAAAAATATCTTTATTTCCTAAGGTCAATGTTTCTTTTTATTCTGTAACTTTACCGAATTCATTGATTAGTTCCAATAGTTTTTTGGTGAAGTCTTTAGGGTTTCTACAGTATAAGGTCATGTCATCTGCAAACAGAGACAATTTTACTTCTCTCACTCCAATTTGGATGCTTTTATATTCTTGTGTAGTTGCTCTGACTAGGAGTTCCAATACTTAATCAGCATTTATTTGTCCTGATCTATTAATTGATACATGTTGATAACATGTAAAGATTTGTGTCTTCAGCATATTTACAGTCTGCATTTCCTATTGCTGTTTTCTTATAAATAACAAAAATGATCTACTTAATGTGAAGTTAGGTTTCTCCTTGGCTATCAGTTAACCTAGTATGGTGGGTTTCCAGCACATGAGCATTGGAAATATCTTTTAAAAAGTTTAATATTTAAGAAAGAAAAAAAGAAACATTGTACGTATTGGCCAAACCAGCTGAAAAACAGCAGTCTGAATCTGAATTTATATATTATTTAAGTTTGTAAGTACATTTTAAAGTAGTCGACTTTCTTATTTCTTGAAAATATCTTTTTTAAAACCTAGAACACTGAGGAAATACCAAAAGGCATTTGAGTGGGTATCTACTTTTTGTTTTATTACCAGAGTATAAAAACAATTTTGAGATTTAAAGTCCTCGTTCTGCAATTTTTCTGCTTATATAAAGGAAAAAAAATTGTTCATTACTTATTCATGAGTGTAAACTATTGCAGCAGTTTTTATGACAGTTGCTATAGTAAACACTTAAAAATACAACTGGATAATCTAGTCTTCAGTCATTTCAAAAGTCAAAATAACATTTCTAAATAATTTTCAATATGTATTTTTAAATAGTTATATCAATATGAATACTGAAATTTACTAATATACACTTGTGCTATAAATATTAATGTTAACATTTACTACTGATGTAGGCTGACATTGAGATTTCCATTTTACAGACAGAAATCTACACTCACGGAGAAGTGAAGAGACCTTGAAAAAAAAGCATTACACAACTGAGCTATTTTTTTCTTTAATCCTCTTTCTATTTTTGTAGGGTTGTTTTTCCATAATTCACTAGTTTCTTAACATATGATCTTTTTTTTCCTCTGTTTCCAGCATATTTCCTTAATTTTAATTGTAACTGCATCCTCCAGATTGCAAGTCACTGCTCTTAAACCTCTTCATCCTTCCTTGTCTCCTACCTGTTTTGTTTCTTCCACATAAATTGAAATCTTATGACATCTTAACTAAATCATTGCAAAGTGAACCCCAAACCACTTAACTGCTGGAAATTTCTACTTTCCAGATTGTCTCCTGTTCATTATTAACAACTCTTGAATTAACTAATAGTTAAGTTCCAAATCATATAAACTCATTGGCTTCATGTTATTTTCCTGTGCACAATTATGTAGTATTTTATACAGTTTACGGCTTTTATTTGTGGGCATAATCAAGAAAAACAGTTAAAAGTATTATATTACCTGTTGACAGATTCCCACTTAAACAAGCTTCTTTAGTTTATACTTGGAATTGTTAAGCCCAGTCACTGTTCCTCCAAGTGTGATATCTGATGGCAATGCAGACGAAGAGAGGTAGAACAGACTCTGGATTATCTAAAGAAATAGACAAACAAGGGTTACATGCATAATTGAGTTTCACAAGCCTTACTGGAGTCACTAGCTATGAGTCACCATCATTTAATAATTAGCAAAATTCAATATACAAGGTTAGACAAAAGTAGGTTTATAATTGTGAGTATGCAAAACACAGTTTATTTTTGCCCTATCCTGTCTATATACATATATAAACATATGCATACATATATCTATATTTCTTTGTTAATCTATTAATTGAACTACTAAGGTATAAAAAATGATTAAACATGTGCATGAGAAAAGATAAAAAATATAAAGCAAAGAGTTCATTTTTTCAATAAATAACAAGAGATTACATATTTACCTACAGGAGAAGAAAATTTATTGGAATTCATTGAGTATGATTCAGTTAAATAAAATAGCCACTGTCAAAGGAAATGAGTAGAATGGTTAAAAGAAAATTATTAGAAATACTATCAATAATATACATGTCTTACAATGGGACAGACTGGGTGATGAGGGAAAAAAAGCATTTTAGGAATCTTCTGATTTAGAATTCACACTTTCTAATCAAGGCTGGGTGATAGATGAACCTGTTCAATCTCCCTAATAGATAAAACACCTTTATTTCATCTTAAATCTGGCAATGAATATATAGCAACTAGTATCTAAAAGTTTATTTGGTTTGGGCCAAGCATCCCTGGTGAGATTTAGAACTACCAAAAAATCAACTCTTTCAACTAAATAACCAGTTGCCTGCCTTGCTCCCAGGGCCACGCATCCTAAAGTGCTGAGCACGAGCAACAGAGCCGCCACGCCAGATGAGGTTGTATGGGAGGATGAGCAAAGCCTGTGTTCTCGTTGCCAAATCACTGAGAAACTGAGGATAGGGACTACAATGAAGGTTGGTAACAATGAGAAATCCATGGATAAAATCTGAGAAATAATGCTCGGATTAAATTTTTAAGTTGTGATAAGTACGAATTCTCCTTAACAGGTGTCTGAGTCTGCGGTAGCAGTAGTGGGTAGAGGCTCATCCTTGGGAGCCTCTGTGACTATTTTAAGCCGGGTAATTCAAGAGCAGCTCCATCCTACCACAAGTCACCAGCCCATCCAAAAGTACAAAAACCTTTATTTATTTATTTATTTTACTATTTTGAGGAAATACATGTTCTCTCAGTTTCCTCTGGCAGGGAGAGCTGCCCTGAGTTCAGGGCAAAGCCTCCGAGGAAGGCCTGAGGGATTCCTGAAAACTGGACCCTGTCCCTCTGGTCTGTGCTTCATTATCATCCGGAGGCCCACAAAATAACAGCAATCTTGACAATCCACATTCTAAGTGCTCACCAACATCTCTACAAAATTTTCACAGCATCTTAATCTAACTGGCCTATGTTCTTCTAGAAAGACCAACCCAAACGCAGAACTTTTTTTCAACACATTGGCCGATAACCCAGAAACTCTGTTTGTGATAGATGTGGCAATAATAAACTATTTTACTTCCCTTTCTTTACATTGATTAATATAATACATTTTTATACACACTTATGCAGATATAGTTATACAATGCATATATTGGCCCTTAGTTTTAAAAATGAAAGGCAGTATTTTAGAATTTGTGTGTCTAAGAAAAAAACAAGTAGGAGACCAACAATTCTTAAAGCAAGTGGAAAGACTGTCTTTTAAGTTGGGAAAGCAACTATTTTAGAAACTGCTTCTTGCATAAAGTAGGCATAAAACTTTTTTTATTCTCCCTTACAAAAGCAGTGTTAATTACTGTAGCTACAAGCTGGGCAGTGATATCAGCAAATTTGGTTTACTTGCAATTCACTTATATCCCATGGGTTTTACTTATAACAGGGCGCATTTTTAAAAATGCTTTAGAGTGTTCAATTATTTTCTAAAGATTCGATTAATTATCATAATTCCCAAAGTAAGAGGAAGTGGTATTTTATAAATCACATTTATAAATGAGGGCCTAAAAAGTCAGAGATGCAAAGTGATTTTTCCAAAGTGATCAGATTGGTACCGTGACTAGTATCTTTTTTTCAGGCCAATTGTTACTGATTCTACTCTAACACATCAACTTGAGGCTGCTCTTTCTGCTTACAAATATACTCTTTCAGTTTTACCTCCATGGTGAATTTCCAAATTCAAGTGTTGCACATAACCTTGCCTGTGTTTTCCACTGGAATTCAAATACTTGTTCTTTGGAATTCCAAATCCCAGCTATCTTTCAAAGTCTCTAGGCATTTATCATTGTTCCAGCTTACTTATATCTTTTTTATAATGTTTTGAGTATATAGACTACATTATATCATTGCTGTTAAGGAAAAGGTTACATGATGGCTACTAAAAATATTTGGCTATTTCAAGTAGTTGGGGAGGAAGAAATTTTCCTCTTCCCTCAAGGTTCTTCTGGCTGGTCTAATCATCAAATTGACATGAGACAAATTAGCAGGAGAAAATAACCAAATTTAATACTTGCTTATTAACATACATGAGAGAGTCAGAGACCCCATATATGAGCTTCAGAGATACAAAGGGGGACTGAGGTATTTAAGACATTCTGAGCTAGGGATGAGGTAATGCACCTTGAGGACTTCAAAGGGTCACTGCAGGATAAGAGCAGACTTTCAGTAAATAGAAGTTTGCCCTGCACTACAGGTAGGTCAAAAGAAGTTATCTCTGATAATCTCATATTAGTTAGCAAGACACCCTAATTCAAGTTCTTCTAGGTAATTAAAGGGAGGGGCAGAAGTAGCTCTTGAGCCTGCAACTAAGAATGCCTTTAGCTCATTAAGTAATCTACATCAGAGACACATGTTCCCTTGGCTCGTTCTAAATTCCCACAAAGTGTTTTTCAAAAACTGATGTGGTAGGATATGTTGATACTCTAGAACTTTGCCTTATCTTCTAGAAATCAGTGTGGGTTGATTACTTTATGGAGATGAAGATGTAGGATAAAGAAGTAATGAAACTATTAGCGATGGTCAATAGTTAGACTCTAGTGTTGTATTCAAGGGCCTTTCTCATTCAGTTGTACAGAATAACAGAATATTTCTTTACATGTTTTGTGAATAATTATTTCTTTACTTTCCCAAATCTAAATCAGGGTGCATCAATTTCCTGAATGCTTATCAACACTCTATGCCACCCAGAAGTTTATGTTTCAAAATATAATCCAGAAATAATATACTCAGCAAACTAGTCCCAGAATAAATCAATATTAAATCAAGTTGTTAGGAGACTTTTGGCCTCACTATAAATTCTTCTACATAGCCTATAGATAAAGCATGTGTTGTTCTTTACAGCCTACCTATAAAATGGCCTATATTTTCACCTGAAAGACTTAGCCCTGGCTGGTGTGGCTCAATGGTTTGAGTGCTGGCTGGTGACCCAAGGGTGCTGGTTTGATTCCCAGTCAGGGCACAGGCCTGGGTTGTGGGCCAGGTCCGCAGTAGGGGGCATGTGAGAGGCAACCACACATTGATGTTTCTCTCCCTCTCTTTCTCCCTCCCTTCCCTTCTGTAAAAAAATAAAATAAATAAAGTCATTTTTATAAAAAGAATTAATATGTTCCTTAAAGAATAACAAACTAGACTTCTGGCTATTTCCTGTTTCTTATATAAAAGGAAATAGTGATGTCAAATTAATGCACAATGTTTAAGTGACAAATCACCTTAATTTTACAACAGGAGTTAAACTGAACCAAATCTTTTCTTTTCTAACACATAACTGAATTAAAATTGGAATCTAATCCTGGGAGTTGTTTTTTTTTTTTTCCTTAAAGCAAATCATCTTTTAAATTCTCTTGACTGATTTACTTTGACAGCTAGACAAGAGAAATATCAATAAGGCATGGCCCACAGAATGTCAGTAACACAAACATATTTTTAGATGTAAATTACTGCTGTATTTAAAAGGACTCTGAAAATGTTAATTGTGATAAGGTCAAACTAACTAAGGATTTTTTTTAATGGGCAAATTAGAAAAATAATATGAACCAGCACATAATTATTTATGAAAAGGTAGAAATTGACATTCCAAACCAAAAAATTCCCCTGATTTCTAATACACTACATTTAGAATGGTGTAAAAAGAGTTGTAGAAGGTTGAATAGTGGCTGTCAAAAAAATACACCTATGTCTAGTCCTAATCCCCACAACCTGAAATACGCTTTATATGGCCTTATAGATCACATGTTTGTGTTCCCCCAAAATTCTTATGTTGATACCTCATCCCCAGTGTGATGGTATTAGGAAGTGGGGCCTTTGGGAGGTGACTAGGTCATGAGGATGGAGCCCTCAAGAATAAGATTAGTGCCCTTATGAAGGAGGTCCATAGGAGCTCCCTTGCCCCTTCTGCTGTGTGAGAGGGCACAAGAAGGTGGCCATCTATGAACCAGGAAGCTGGTTTTCACCAGACATTGAATCTGATAGCACTTGTCTCTAACTTTTCAGGCTCTAGGCAGCCACCCAGTCTGTGGTATTTTGTTATAGCAGCTCCAACAGACTTAAGGATCTTGAAAGAGGAGCTTATCTTGTATTATCCAGGGAGTCCCCAAAAGCAATCACATGCATTCTTATGTTAAGAACAAGGAAACAGAAGTTGAGGCGCAGACACGCAAAACAGAAGACATACAAAAAGCTGTGATATGGAAAAGGAGGCTAAGCAGAAAGTGATGTGGCAACAAGCCAAGGAACTCCAACTGCCACCAATAACTAGAAGAGGCATGGAGAAAATCCTTCCCTGGATTCTCTTTAAGGAGACACCTTGGCCTTCAAAAGTGTGAGAATAAATTCCTATTGTTTTTAGCCACCAAATGTATAGTAATTTGTTATAGCTGCCTTAAGGAACTAATACAGCAGTGGTGGTGACATCATTTATAAAAGCCATAAACCCAGGAATTCCACTGCAAGATATTCTCCTTATGGCACACATGCAGGAGTATGCAAAGGAACATGTACAGGATGTCTAAGGCAGCATCACTGATAACTGTAGCAAAGTGACAGTCACTA